TTTGTCTGATAATTACCTACTTATATGCATATGTGAATATATGTATGCATGTATACATTTACATTTATATATATATATATATATATATAATATATATATATATATGTATATATATACTATATATATTATATATATATATTATATATATATATATATATATATGTGTGTGTGTGTGTGTGGCTGTGTGTGTGTGTGTGTGTGTGTGTGTGTGTGTGTGTGTATGTGTGTGTGTTGTGTGTGTGTGTGTATGTGCACACACATATATACATAAATATATATATATATATATATATATATATATTATTATATAATATATATATATATACATATATATATATATATATATATATATATATATATATATATATATATACATATATATATGCATACATATATGTATATATACATACATATATATACATACATATATTATAGAAAAGGTATGAATGAGACTGGATATCTTCACAATACAAGAGATGTATTTGACCGGTTTCGATTACGTCTTCATCAGAAATACATTGTATTTCTGACGAAGACATAATCGAAACCGGTGTGTGTGTGTGTCTATATATATTATATATATATATATATATATATATATATATATATATATATATATATATATATATGTATGTATATATATATATATATATATATATATATATATATATATATATATATATATGTAATATATGTATATATATACATATATATAATATATATATATTATATATATATATATATATACATATATATATATATATATATATATATATATTATATATATATATAATAATATATATATATATGTATACATATATGTGTGTGTGTACTTCTGTGTGTGTGTGTATGTGTGTGTTTGTGTTCTTGTGAACGCGTGCGCGTGTGTGTTTGTAAGCGTGTGTGTACGAGCCTATGACTGTTTATATGTTGTGTTTAACCTTGGGTGATATATAGAGCTGTCTGCCAAGATATCTTTTATTTTTCTTCCATAAAGGACATATTTTCGTGCATTTCGTCCTCTTAACATTTCATACCCAGCATTCACACACGGAATTTTTTTTCCCGATATAAAAAAGTGAGATCGGTACCACAGGCATCTACCAGACGATGTTTTTACTACAAAGTCGATACCAAATGTGTTCCCAGAATAAAGTTTTCATATCTTCTCTATGTTTCGAAATGGGAAACTGATTACACGATACTCTGTTGTGACGAGACAATCGATTAATCCTGAAAATAGACCTATTTTTTTATGTTGAGATATTACTAGTGAACGGGGAGAGAGAGAGAGAAAAAAAAAACAAATATAACACAAAATGAAGATATTGTGAATAGTTTTCTTTACTTTCTGATATATCTGTAATATATATGTAATAAATGATAACAATAAATAATGATAATAATATATATATATGTAATAAATGAAGAGTTTTCTTTACTTTATGATCTATATGTAATGGTTTGTACAATTTACGAATATTATGACAATGGTAAGGAAGACAAAAGTGCTTCCTTGTTATTCTCGCTCTTACAGGAATTAACAGCAGCAACAACGAAGGGAAGGACAAGAAAACACACGAATATGTATATTCGTGTGTTTTCTTGTCCTTCCCTTCGTTGTTCCTGTTGCAATCTGTTCGTCGTGAATTCCACACAGGAATTACCTGACACGCCGGAAATTGAACTGAGTAAGACAGACACTTGCTCGAGAGAAAAGACGACTTCGAGGGGTAAAAGTCTACGGAAATGAACACCCATATTTCATTTCTCAAGCTTATTACGTGACAACCTCATACAATTTCTTAGGGCTAACAAAAATCTACGGGAATTAAAAACTCAAATTAGAAATGAACACTTTGAACAGTTCCTACAAAGCATTAACAATAACACTTCAATGTCTGAGGTCTGGAAAAAAATTAATCGTCTTTCAGGCAAACCGACTAATTCTCCACAGTTTCATAGTCCTCTTGCGCCTTAGTCAGTGGGCTGGAGCGTCCAAATTGAGCTCACTTCCCACAAATATTCAGAATCACCTTAATCAGTCTAAAGTTGCACGGAAATTTGCTATAGAGATTGGATGTTCTGATTCCGACATTTCTGACTCTGCTGAGATTAGTGAGTGGGAATTGAACAATGCACTAAGCAAAGGCAAGGCCTCCGCCCCAGGTGAAGATGGAATTACCTATAGTGTCCTTCGCCTTATAGCCCAGGTACCTGGTAATCCCCTTTTGCACCTGTACAGGCTGAGCTTGTCACAAGGTATTCTACCTGACTCCTGGACGCGCAGTCTAATCATCCCTATACCGAAACCAAACACTGATAAACACCGCCCGATTTCACTAACCTCATGTTTATGCAAAGTCCTAGAAAGGATAATTCTAAACAGACTCAGGTACAGGTTACAAGGTAAATTATCTCACAGACTGTACGGATTCTTACCGGGACGTAGTACACAACATTGCTTTGCAGAGTATTTTTCAGGCTCTAACCCAGGGAAGCACACTGTTTTTCTTGATCTTAAGTCAGCTTTTGACATTGCAAACAGAGAAGTCATTCTAGAACAATTGGCAAGCTTTGGCATACGAGGTAAATTATTGAGCTGGATTAGAATGTATCTTTCTAACAGATCCGCAAGTGTCTTGTTCAGGGGAGTGAGGAGTTCCACCTCACAGCCCTTTGAACTTGGGACGCCACAGGGAGGAGTTCTCAGCCCTATGCTGTTCAATGTCCTTATGCACAAATTGGTGACAGATATTCCACTTGGGGATGGGGAATCTATTATATGTTATGCTGATGACATATGTGTCAGAGCATCATCATATGAAAGAATGCAAAGAATTCTCGACGAACTCACAACAAGGGCACATGAGTGTGGATTAGTCATCTCTGCTGAAAAAACAATGGCTCTCAACCCGGGTATTATACCCCCACCCACGTTTCACATAGGAAACCAGGAGCTTGACATGTGTTATAAGTATAAATATCTCGGGGTGAACGTAAATGATGCAGACCTGATCACTTCTCTGAAGAAGAGACTCTGGGAGAGATTGAAACCGCTGAAAGTCCTTGTCGGAAAGGGACATGGCATCAATGTTAAGCTCGCTAGATTGTTTTACTTGGCCTTTATAAGGTCAGTTGTAGACTACCATGCACTGCACTTATTGCAGTATAAGGACTCAGATATAAATAGTTTGGAGATAGTACAAAACGAAGCTATGAGGATTATCCTCGGCGCCCCGAGAACAGCAAGGATAGTGAACATGAGATCAGAACTAAACTTACCATCCATTTTTGATAGAATAATATATATTTGCACTCTGTTTGGGGTCAAAGCCCTGAGGGAACCCTTGTATCTCACATATTTCCAAAAACAGCTGCAACATAAAATCACGCAAGCAGACGAGGCTAATCAGACACACGAGCGTTCTCTGGTACACAAAATCTGCATGAACATTACCAAGCTTAACGTCCCCATAAGTAAGATACCAAAAGGTCGATCCATTCCCCCATGGAAAAACTCATCACTGATTGTGCACTTTACATGTCTACCGCAAAAAAAAAAAAACAACACTAACTGCGTGTTGAAACAAATTGCTTTGGCGACGGTAAAGGAACACTTAGAATCTATGGGCGATGTGTACGAGTGTTACGCTGACGGATCCGTACAGTCTGGTACTGGATACAAAGCTGGTTGTGCTTGCGCTGTATACAAAAATGGTTTATTGCAACATCAAGTTCATATGAGAGTACAAAATTGGGCCAGCACTACTCAAACGGAGTTGGCAGGTATACTCCTTGCAACAGAATACTTAATGTCTGGGGCTCTGGATAGTTCTTTGTGATTCTCAAAGCGCACTTCGGACACTTAAGTTCCTTCAAAACGGAGAGTGATGAGGAAATTGTGAACTGCATTAAGCGTAACGTAACTTATGCAAGAGAGCGCAATTTTAACATTCAATTTGTATGGATACCATCTCATGTTGGTATACTCAAGCATGACCATGTCGACAAATTTGCGAGAGGCTTGTAGCAAAGATATAAATATAGATCTTGGGATGCCTCTTGCCAGGGTTGCGCACATTAAAAAGTTCTCATAATGAAGAACTAATGGATCTGACAAGTTCACAAAGGCCTGAAAGCTGTAGTATAAGGCACTACGATCAGTATAGAGATTGTAAGCCCTCCTATGGGTGGCACCTAAAATAATCAGACATGACGAGGTTATTGCCAGAATACGTTTAGGTTATAGAATGTACTGGCAACTGCAAAGTGCAAGAAGTGCAGATGAATCTAGACGTAGACTGTGTAACGAGGAAAAGCGAACGCTTGAGCATTATATCTCGAAGTGTCATGTGATACAGCCTTTCAGCCACCTAACATGACGTATAGAGAACTGTTATGTAAACACAAAGGCAAAGGTAGATCAACTTAAGTAATATACGTTTGCATGCTGCATAACATATTCCCATTTTGCCATGTATTTTGTAATCACAGAATACTGTACTCTGCGAATGTATGTGAATATATGTAACCCTGTAATCACGATTACCCAAGCCTGAGCAGTTAGCCAGGGTGGTAAATAAACTTAACTAAAATGCAAATAGAATTAATTTTAAAAAAAACGCAGGATAACAGTAGCATCATTGTTTAAAATAAAGACAAAAATAAAAAATAAATAAGGGGTTTCCAAGAACAAACAAAATATACTTCAGCACACTTCCCGTGTCCCTTCCAACTCACATATCAGTCACTACATATGACTTTCCCCTTCTCTTTCTGGTCTGCCTTCTTATGCTACAGCCTCATGGTATTTCTTGAAGCAGTTTCTGGATGCATTGAGGCAGAGGTGCACCTTGCAGACCTGGCAGACAATGTTGGAGCGGATGATGTTCTGTCTGCACACAGATATCCATTATGTACAACTGTACTTAGCAAAAGTTTGAAGTAAATACATATGGATGCATGGATATATATATTTCCCATAAATTTTACACAATGCTTCGCGTTGAGTGTCACATTTTTGTGAATCTGTCATTTATTCGAGTCATATTTACAAGAGCATGGAAGTGATATACTCTCAGCGTCTTCGTGCTCCCGAAGAGGCCCTTACAACCTGTCGCTCTAACTGGAGACATCACTAGTATCTGTAGCCTCTGTTGAATTCGCGGCTGTCGTATCGGTCGTCAAATTCAAAGCTGGCGGATTCGTCGCTGTGGTCGTACCTTCCGGAGTACGGCCTGGCGAACACGGGACGACCCCAGCCACCGTCGCCCAACCGCCGGGAGGCCGCGAGGGCGAGGCTCACCTGCGCCGCGAACACCAGCAGCACACACCAGGAGTCTGCAGCTCATCTGGAGTCGCAGGAAAAACAATGGAGAGTTGCACAAAACATAACTTAAAGATTAGTCACATTATCAAACATATTATACATACACAACATAATGCAATGAATATACGTGATGGAATTACTCTACATTAAGTACTAATGATAATGAGCGAAATACAAGAGAGCAACAATCATAGCAATAGTAATACTACAGAATTAAGTAAGTATAACACTACAGTGATAATTATATGAATAATTCCACAGCAGAAGTCTCGTACAAATGACATACCATCTCGAAGTCCTGAGTATTCAGAAGGGAAATAAACTCTCAGTGTCTGGACGGGGTTGTGGTGCCCGCCTCGGTCCCCAGGGTTTTTATGCAGGCTTACACCCCATCCGCCCCGCCTCCCACTCCGCCCACGCACGCAGAGCACATCGTATATGATTCGTCACTTTTTCCCTTTCAGATCGTCCTGAAGATTGCTGGTGTGTTGCATCACGACGGGACATGACCCTGAAAGTGTGTTTCTATGATTCTGAAATACATTTTTTTTTTTTTTGTGGGGAAAAAATAATAACACTCCCTTGGAACTCATAATTTAGAAGGAATCGAAAAATGTATGTTTTTATGTTTGATTCTGAGATACATTCTTTTCTTCTTTTTAGGAAACAGGAAAAATGATAACACTCACTTGGACCTCACAATTTAGAAGAAATCGAATCCTCTAGATATACTCACATAAAACCATTCTTCTATACTTAAAAAAAAAAAAAAAATACAAAAAAAAAAAAAAAAACGAACGGGTGGTAACCTCACTCGCCCCATCCTCGCTGTGATGACCTTTCCTGTTACAATGTCCTTATGCTATGGTGTCCTTCGATGAGCCTGGGACTTTTCTTCCTGAAGGAGTGATAGTGATGATAATGATAATAATGATGGTGATAACAGTGATAACATTAATGGTAATGACAGTGATAGAGATAAAGATAATGATATAGATGATAATGATAGTAATGATATTGGTAATAATAATAAGGATGATAATAACTAACAGTAATGATAATGATAAAAATAGCAATATCAATGATAATGATAATTATCAATGGTGACTAACAATTATAAGTGATAATGATAATCATGATGATGATAATGATAACAATGAAAACATTTTTTTCTTGTAAACATCAATATTTCTTTTATGTTTGCAATGTTTGCACATGCAATGCTGACAGGACGTCAACATCCGCTGCTTGACAGCACTAGCAAACCGCATATTTATATTCATTATGATCACAAGTCTAGTCATGAATATTGTCGTCATCCTTGTTGTTATAATCATTAATTTTATTGTTGTAATCATTATCATTATCCTTACTATAATCATTACTTCTTATTATCAAGATTGTTATTATTATTATCATCATCATTACTATTACTATCTGACAGCCGGTCGCAAAATGAAAATAAAATTAGGTATTTTGATTTTTTTTTTTTTAGAACAGTTTATCAATTTCTGGAAACATGTGACAGGCGGAAAAAAAAAAAAAAAAAAAAAAACGGTGACAAAACTACATCACTCCAGGAATCAGTGTCATTCATGTGCCCGCAGACAGAAATGCTCTCTGGTGACAAAATCATCATAATTACCAGAATTAATGTTAAAATCCTCATAATTACCATTAAAAAGCGAAAAGGTTTTTTTTCGACGTTTCTCTCAAAAGGCTGTAATACGCTAGATTTTGCCGTTTTTTTCGACTTATGGGATTTTATTTACATACTGTTTGAGACATGCAGATACCTTCGATTATGGAGGTTTCTATGGGAATAACTGGCTAGAAAACCTAACTACGGAATCAAATCGTATGGGATTAGGTGCGACGGAAAAAAAAAAAAGAGTCGATCTTCGAATTATTTTTATTTTCGAAAAACGGGGAAAATAAATGCGGCGAATCCGTAAGACAAGAAATGAAAGATTGTAATTGTCGCGAAATGGTCATCATTGTCATTGTGATTATTATCATTATCATTGTTATTATTACTGTTATTTTTATTGCTGTTGTTTTTTGTTGTCGTGATTACTATTATTATTATTATTATTCATTATCATTATTACGATCATCATAATGTTAATGTTAATGATAATAGCAATGTTTGCAATGATGATAGTAATGATAATGATAATGATTAAAAAATAATGGTGATGATGATAATAATGATAATAATAATAATAAGAAGAATAAGAATAATAAGAACAAAAACATTAACGGTAATGATAATGATATCATTATCATTTTCTTTTTTATTGTCATTATTTTCATTACTAATATCATCATCAGTAGCATAATAAAGATGATAATGATAATCATCATTATTGTTATTATAATCATTATTATCATTATTATGTTTGTTTTGTTTTTTGTTTTTTTTGTGGTAATGGTTATGATAATGATAATGCAATTATGTAATTAACATTATTATTATCAATGTTAATATCATTAATAACGTTAATGTTATTTTCATCAACGTCGCTGTTACGGCCATTTCTACTTTTCATTATGACAGGAGGCAAAAGAATGGTAGAAACGGAAAGAAATAAAATAACATGAATACACACACACGCACACACACACACACACACACACACACACACACACACACACACACACACACACACACACACACACACACACACACACACACACACACATACACACACAAACATATATGTAGTATATATATATATTATATATATATATATATATATATATATATATATATATATATATATATATATATGTATATAGCATGACCACACACACACATACATATAGACCATAGCCTTTGTAACTCTCCGTTTTATTATTTGCTAAATACATTGCATCATGCTTTATGCTAATCCAATATGCACAGACTGTTGCAAAATCGAGTTTATTTTTAGAAGCATGAGGATCTGCCTACATTCTGTAAACATGATGGTGCAAAAATTCAACAAAGAAGTTGCGAAAAGGGACATTGC